TCTGGCAGTGCTCCTCCTGCTCCTCCTTGCACAAAGGCGGAGGTAGCAGTCCTGCTGCTGGGTTGTTGCCGTCCTACGGCCTCCTCCACGTCTCCTGATGTACTGGCCTGTCTCCTGGTAGCGCCTCCATGCTCTGGACACTACGCTGACAGACACAGCAAACCTTCTTGCCACAGCTCGCATTGATGTGCCATCCTGGATGAGCTGCACTACCTGAGCCACTTGTGTGGGTTGTAGACTCCGTCTCATGCTACCACTAGAGTGAAAGCACCGCCAGCATTCAAAAGTGACCAAAACATCAGCCAGGAAGCATAGGAACTGAGAAGTGGTCTGTGGTCACCACCTGCAAAACCAGTCCTTTATTGGGGGTGTCTTGCTATTTGCCTATAATTTCCACCTGTTGTCTATTCCATTTGCACAACAGCATGTGAAATGTATTGTCAATCAGTGTTGCTTCCTAAGTGGACAGTTTGATTTCAGAGAAGTGTGATTGACTTGGAGTTACATTGTGTTGTTTAAGTGTTCCCTTTATTTTTTTGAGCAGTGTATTTGACCCCTCTGCAAAACATGACTTAGTACTTGGTGGCAAAACCCTTGTTGGCAATCAGAGGTCAGACGTTTCTTGTAGTTGGCCACCAGGTTTGCACACATCTCAGGAGGGATTTAGTCTTACTCCTCTTTGCAGATCTTCTCCAAGTCATTAAGGTTTCGAGCCTGACGTTTGGCAACTCTAACCTTCAGCTCCCTCCACAGATTTTCTATGGGATTAAGGTCTGGAGACTGGCTAGGCCACTCCAGGACCTTAATGTGCTTCTTCTTGAGCCACTCCTTTGTTGCCTTGGCGGTGTGTTTTGGGTCATTGTCATGCTGGAATACCCATCCACGACTAATTTTCCATGCCCTGGCTGAGCGAAGGATCTCACCCAAGATTTGACGGTACATGGCGCCGTCCATCGTCCCTTTTGATGCGGTGAAGTTGTCCTGTCCCCTTAGCAGAAAAACACCCCCAAAGCATAATGTTTCCTCCTCCATGTTTGACGGTGGGGATGGTGTTCTTGGGGTCATAGGCAGCATTCCTCCTCCTCCAAACACGGCGAGTTGAGTTGATACCAAAGAGCTCGATTTTGGTCTCATCTGACCACAACACTTTCACCCAGTTCTCCTTGAGATGTTCATTGGCAAACTTCAGACGGGCCTGTATATGTGCTTTCTTGAGCAGGGGGACCTTGCGGGCGCTGCAGGATTTCAGTCCTTCACGGCGTAGTGTGTTACCAATTGTTTTCTTGGTGACTATGGTCACAGCTGCCTTGAGATCATTGACAAGATCCTCCTGTGTAGTTCTGGGCTGATTCCTCACCGTTCATCCTTGGGAGCAATTTCCAAGCGCCTGAAGGTACGACGTTCATCTGTACAAACAACAGAATGCAAGTATAAACACCATGGGACCACGCAGCCGTCATACCGCTCAGGAAGGAGATGCGTTCTGTCTCCAAGAGATGAACTTACTTTGGTGCGAAAAGTGCAAATCAATCCCAGAACAACAGCAAAGGACCTTGTGAAGATGCTGGAGGAAACAGGTACAAAAGTATCTATATACTATATATCTAAATATCTATATATCCACAGTAAAACGATTCCTATATCGACACAACCTGAAAAGCCGTTCAGCAAGGAAGAATCCATTGCTCCAAAACGCCATAAAAAAGCCAGACTACGGTTTGCAACTGCACAAAGATCGTACTTTTTGGAGAAATGTCCTCTGGTCTGTGAAATAAAAATAGAACTGTTTGGCCGTAATGACCATCGTTATGTTTGGAGGAAAAAGGGGGCTCTTGCAAGCCGAAGAACACCATCCCAACCGTGAAGCACGGGGGTGGCAGCATCATGCTGTGGGGGTGCTTTGCTGCAGGAGGGACTGGTGCACTTCACAAAACAGATGGCATCATGAGGAAGGAAAATTATGTGGATATATTGTAACATCTCAAGACATCAGTCAGGAAGTTAAAGCTTGGTCGCAAATGGCTCTTCCAAATGGACAATGACCCCAAGCATACTTCCAAAGTTGTGGCAAAAAGGCTTAAGGACAACAAATTCAAGGTATTGGAGTGGCCATCACAAAGCCCTGACCTCAATCCTATAGAAAATGTGTGGGCAGAACTGAAAAAGCGTGTGCGAGCAAGGAGGCCTACAAACCGGACTCCGTTACACCAGCTCTGTCTGGACGAATGGGCCAAAATTCACCCAACTTATTGTGAGAAGCTTGTGGAAGGCTACCCGAAACGTTTGACCCAAGTTAAACAATTTAAAGGCAATGCTACCAAATTCTAATTGAGTGTATGTAAACTTCTGACCCACTGGGAATGTGATGAAAGAAAGAAAAGCTGAAATATATCATTCTGATCCTAACTGACCTAAGACGGAATTTTTACTAGGATTAAATGTCAGGAATTGTGAAAAACTGATTTTAAATGTATTTGACTAAGCTGTATGTAAACTTCCCACTTCAACTGTATATACATACAGTGGGGAGAACAAGTATTTGATACACTGCCGATTCTGCAGGTTTTCCTACTTACAAAGCATGTAGAGGTCTGTAATTTTTATTATAGGTACACTTCAACTGTGAGAGACTGAATCTAAAACAAAAATCCAGAAAATCACATTGTATGATTTTTTAAGTAATTAATTAGCATTTTATTGCATGACATAAGTATTTGATACATCAGAAAAGCAGAACTTTAATATTTGGTACAGAAACCTTTGTTTGCAATTACAGAGATCATACGTTTCCTGTAGTTCTTGACCAGGTTTGCACACACTGCAGCAGGGATTTTGGCCCACTCCTCCATACAGACCTTCTCCAGATCCTTCAGGTTTCGGGGCTGTCACTGGGCAATACGGACTTTCAGCTCCCTCCAAAGATTTTCTATTGGGTTCAGGTCTGGAGACTGGCTAGGCCACTCCAGGACCTTGAGATGCTTCTTACGGAGCCACTCCTTAGTTGCCCTGGCTGTGTGTTTCGGGTCGTTGTCATGCTGGAAGACCCAGCCACGACCCATCTTCAATGCTCTTACTGAGGGAAGGAGGTTGTTGGCCAAGATATCGCGATACATGGCCCCATCCATCCTCCCCTCAATACGGTGCAGTCGTCCTGTCCCCTTTGCAGAAAAGCATCCCCAAAGAATGATGTTTCCACCTCCATGCTTCACGGTTAGGATGGTGTTCTTGGGGTTGTACTCATCCTTCTTCTTCCTCCAAACACGGCGAGTGGAGTTTAGACCAAAAAGCTCTATTTTTGTCTCATCAGACCACATGACCTTCTCCCATTCCTCCTCTGGATCATCCAGATGGTCATTGGCAAACTTCAGACGGGCCTGGACATGCGCTGGCTTGAGCAGGGGGACCTTGCGTGCGCTGCAGGATTTTAATCCATGACGGCGTAGTGTGTTACTAATGGTTTCCTTTAAGACTGTGGTCCCAGCTCTCTTCAGGTCATTGACCAGGTCCTGCCGTGTAGTTCTGGGCTGATCCCTCACCTTCCTCATGATCATTGATGCCCCACGAGGTGAGATCTTGCATGGAGCCCCAGACCGAGGGTGATTGACCGTCATCTTGAACTTCTTCCATTTTCTAATAATTGCGCCAACAGTTGTTGCCTTCTCACCAAGCTGCTTGCCAATTGTCCTGTAGCCCATCTCAGCCTTGTGCAGGTCTACAATTTTATCCCTGATGTCCTTACACAGCTCTCTGGTCTTGGCCATTGTGGAGAGGTTGGAGTCTGTTTGATTGAGTGTGTGGACAGGTGTCTTTTATACAGGTAACGAGTTCAAACAGGTGCAGTTAATACAGGTAATGAGTGGAGAACAGCAGGGCTTCTTAAAGAAAAACTAACAGGTCTGTGAGAGCCGGAATTCTTACTGGTTGGTAGGTGATCAAATACTTATGTCATGCAATAAAATGCAAATTAATTACTTAAAAATCATACAATTTTTGTTTTAGATTCAGTCTCTCACAGTTGAAGTGTACATATGATAAAAATTACAGACCTCTACATGCTTTGTAAGTAGGAAAACCTGCAAAATTGGCAGTGTATCAAATACTTGTTCTCCCCACTGTGTGTGTGTATATGTGTGTGTATGTGTATATATGTGTGTGTGTGTGTGTGTGTATATTTGTATGTATATATATATTATATATATATATACACATATGTATACATGTATAAAAACATGCATGCATACATACATACATACAGTACCAGTCAAAAGTTTGGACACCAACTCATTCAAGGGTTTTTCTTTATTTGTACTATTTCTTAGTAAAAATCGGATGCACGGCTCATGAGAAGAAGATTTTATGAAGAATCCAAGATGACGGAAAATCCAATATGGCAGACCTTATGGATCCTTGAGGCAAATGTGTTTCTTATGATGAGAAACACTTGTGTACCACGTTTTGTTGTTGTACATGTAACAGGGTGGCGGGGCTGACCCTTAGCATTTATGTTTATGCTAAAATGATGTCTAACAGTTTGAGGTTCACAACTGAATTGCTTGCTTTTTCCATGTTTATTGAGATATCAACACCTGCTTCGGCATACTCATTCCTACTAGTGCCCTCAAGACAATCAATCCGTTTCAAGTTGATAGAGCGAAGATACGTTTAGTAATTAGGGTTTGATTGAGAATGCAATATTATTTTTAAAGAGTTGCAATTTTCTCTTCCATCTGACGTATCGCTAAGTTTTTTTTCCCAAACTAAGTAGAGGCTGACATGATGAATATACATTCTGAGTTTCAAGTCAATCAGATTTGCAGTTAATAAGAAGTGTTTTGAAGATTTTATAAACATCCGACAGGCCAGAAAATCCAATATGGCGGATATCATGGGTCCTTGAGGCAAAGTTTTTCCTTATGCCAAATACCGCTATACCAAGTTTTATGTCAAGTGGGGTAGCGGTGCTGAGCCTTAGACTCTGCATTTTTATTACTGCACGAACTATGGGCCAATTGGTGCAGTTTTTGGTGTCTGAGTAGCAGTGTTCATATTCTTCGACAGTAAAAATAAAAAAAAGTATTGGGCATGGAGATATTGTGACAAAAGTGGAAGAATAATACGAATTCCATCAGAATCAATAGGTTTGCTTGCAGCTTCGCTGCCAGCACCCTTAAGGAGGTATTCACTCTTGTCCAGTGTATTCACTGCATTCATTTATGTCTCTCATAGATTCTGGAGGTTCCTGACGGCCACAGGGCTCCAGTTCCACCCCAGAGCTGTAGCAGTGGCTCCCAGAGCGACCCCTCCACCACGCCCCTCTCCCCCACACCCTGCTCTTTCTCCCCCTCCATGTCCCCCTCTTCTGTAGAAGACCTACCCGTGAATCAGGACCCAGGTCAGTCTCTCCCTAATATAGCCCTGTAACAACATCAGTGCAGGGTTATGTTCAGTATGGTGCACACAAACGTGCAAAATGTTTTGCAATGGGAAACTGTGTGCTTATTGGACAGTTTCACGGTGTACCTCCTGGTTGTTCTGTTTCAAAACGCTATCTCCCTATTGAACAAGACCCATTTGGTTTATCAACATAGAAGTGAGTAATACCAGGCAGGAAAAGCTAAATTGGCTATAAATGGTTGAGACAGTTTCCACAATAATGGTGCCTCTTTACAATGACGTGATACAACTTTGATACAAAGTTTCCACTTGTTGTAGCATGAAATGCATGCACCAGAAACAGGGCACACTTTTGTGAGAGAGATATCAGCAAGCTAGGCTAGCTAAACTGTAGCAAAATATCTACCTTACTGTCTGCTTGGCTGGCTAGCTAGATGCTTGGCTAAACACAGAATGTCAGCGCATTGTTCTGATTGGCTAGTCGCAAGTCTTTAGCTAAGATTTGACATGTTGAACCTTGGAAACTCCAGCAGCCGACATGAGACGTTCTAGAACTAGACCGTTCAGATCAAGCAAACTTCGTTCTAAAACTGCATAAAACTGTCTCGGCTGCTGTATCTGAACTGGGCATCAGTGATAGGAATTTAGAAACACAGATACTGGACTTTTTCTCACACCACTCTTCAGGTGTGGCGGAGGGTGTGGAGCTGTGTCTCCTGTCTCCCCTGTCCTCCCAGGGTGGGTGGGAGCCGTCCCCCTTGCTGCTCTCCTCCTCGCCACGGCCCAACAAGAGCTACTGCTTCCAGAGGGAGCCCCCCGAGGGCTGCGAGAAGGTCCGCGTGTGTGAGGAGACCAGGTAGGTTCTCGCAAATACTCGTACACGCACACACATGCACAATTGTTTGATGTGCACAGAAACGTACATGCCCACACAAATGTAAATACACACTAACTTGTATGTATGGGCAGATGTATGCTTAGGTACATAGACAAATACAAACATTCTGACTTTTGGATGCATTTATTCCAAAAGGCTTATGAACAGTAACACATGGCTCCTTAGATTGAGTCTGTACATACCCCCAGTTGTTTTCAAAGTTATTGGAGACTGGGTGTGTCAATATCACAGGGTTCATATGATCATGAAAATCCTGAAAAAGTCATGTAATTTTAAAATTGTGTTTTCCAGGCCTGAAAAGTAAATAACAGAAATTATGAAATTAATTTTAATGTAATCTATTTAAATATTTTATCAATAAAATACAAAATTCTGCCAGGATCGGAATTACACTTCAGCGCGTCTATTTGCGTGCATCACCTGCATGTGTGCGAGACGAGTGGGCCGTAGCTCAAGGGGGGAGAGAGAGAGAGACAGTCTGACATTTCAGCAGCAGGTAGGCATAGCCTATAAAATATGATAAACAGACCAACTAGGTAACCAATTCACAACATATCTTGTACTCTCTATTTAAGTGTTTAGCTATTATTAGCATGTATTAATGTTTTTGTCTTGTCCTAAAAAAAACGTATTATCCTTTCACTCACAAATAATTTACTTTTTTGAACGATTCATATGATTCATTTAAACAATTATTTAGGATGAAACTAACAATTCACTTCACCATTGTATTAGTTGGTATTCGGTTTAATTGCATTGACTCTAATCATCTGAATCAAAATTATTTGTGAATTGTGAACATTAATTTTAGGCTACATCTAATCTTTTTTCCTTTCTTTTGGATTATGTGGGTTCAAAAATTGTAGATGCTTCCAGTTGATTTGGGCATCCAATGTATGGGAGGTTGCAATAGATGCTAGTCAGCCTGAAAAGTAAACACTTCTAAGGTGGCTAAGATAAATATGACTAAACTATAAAAGGTACATAAAGAAAATGTGTGGGCTTGCTTCAGCTGAATAAAAAGATTTGTAGCCTACCATAGCCATTTGATCTTTGATATATTGAATAAACTAATTGTTTCAAAAGGCATAAAATTAATTTGGTTGTAATGTTGAAATGTTTTACATCAAGGGTGGTCAACCATCCTCCAGGAGAGCTAATGGGTGTGCAGGCTTTTATTCCTGTCCCACTGCTGCTCAACCGGACCTTGATAAACTGGCTCTGTGTTTGAGCAGGGCTTGCTCAAAAGCATGCACACCCAGTAGCTCTCCAGAATGAGGGTTGACCACATGTTTTATACCCTTGCCTAACATGTATTCTACTTTGGGGGGGGTTAAGTGCCTTGCTTAACGACAGGAGATGTAAATGGGATCAGAGAGCAGCCTCCCAGTGTCGATACCACATTACGCATACTTTTTTATGCTGTACTTACAGAGATGCCGTCAATTGTTGGTAATGGAAATTTGGTTAAAAGTAATGGAAGTCGTAGAAAAGTCATTAAATTCCATCTGTCAAAATGTGTATGAACCCTATCAGGTCTACTGACATATTTGAACAGTTTGTGATCCTGCTTCTAACAACCCCGTCTCTTTCTCTCCCACAGCATTCCACACCTAGCCCAGTCCTCGCCCCTCCTCTCCTCCTGCCCCGACCCCAACAAGGTGAACTTCACCCCCCACGGCAGCTCAGCATTCTTCCCCGTCAGCCTGCTCAAGCCCCTGCTCCCATCCATGGACCTGCTGTTCTGTAGCCTGGCCGTGTCCCCAGTCACGGGCTGCTCTGGCCAGGGCGCAGCCCCCTCGCCTGGGTACCTGGGGCCTCACTCCGACTCGGTCACCACTGCCATGTAAAAGGGGCTCCATTTAAAGGGGGAAATGTCAAGGCAGCGGTATGCTTTGAAAACTACATTACATATCATGAGGACGTCTTTGTTACTCCCCCTATTCTTGTCGATTGTGGCCCCCCTAAATTAAACCCAATAGCATTTCAAAGTGCTTGAGAAGACAGCCTTTTTACCAACCATGCTCCAATTTAGTAAGAGTTCACAAACTGGTTACTGTTGACCAAAAATGTCAGGGAATCTTTTTTGGACAGTAGTGGCTTCCTTTCCCATTTCTCTTGACTTCATCATAGCTTTTTTCCCCATTTTAGTTCAGATTTCCCTCTTGAAAGTGTCATTGGCTGTGCACTGACTATTTTTTTTCCTCGTATCCGTATTGAAGAGACATGACACACCAGCTGACTTTTGGCCTTTAACCTTGGGTACCAACCACAGTGGCTGCCCCATTGAAAGTGGTCTGAAATGTATTAACTTGTGGACCAATAGCCACTGAGAGGCAAGCATACTTTTATAAAAGGATCAATTTATTTGGTCATTTCTGTTAGAAAAAATCAAGAAAATGTAAAAAATTATAAGAAGAATAAATAGAAAATATATAAGGTCGGATGTTATTTGCTTGAATCAGTCCCCAAGAGGACATTTGCTTTTTAGAACAGATCAGTCCATAAGGGTGTCGAATCGCAACATAATTTGATTTTCTGTGTTAGGATGGTACATATAGCACTGCGAGTCATTGGATTGTCAATGACTTATAGTCATTTTTGCAACAATGTTGGTCTTCTGTATTAATGTCCAGTAGTCACTATCTTATGATGCTCAAAAGACACTGCATTGCTTCAGCATTTGGCATGATGGTGTAGGGTAGTCTAGTCATTTGACCAAACTACTAACCATATTTTATTCTCTGGAAGAGGAATGTTTCCTATGATTTTTCTAGGGGATGATGCTTCACCCCTCACTTTACACACATTGAACTCTCGTTTTGGATTTTAAGAGCCTGTTGGCCCACTTCTCTTTTAATGGTGATTCAGGTTTTCCCTCTCTTTGTATGAAAGGTGTCTTGGGAAAGCTGTACTCTTTGGAACTTTAATGTTCTGCTCTGGATTAGTTTGTGCATTGTAGAAAAAGGCTGCTGTCAAATACCAATTAATTATTTAAGTTATTAGAAAAGGAGGCAAAAAATGCTCTTCGCCAAAATCTGGTTGCTTTTAGTATTTAAAGATATTTATATAGAATTTTCAATTGAAATAAACTTTTTTTTAACCTTAAAGTAACATCCATGACACACATGCAGAGGTTTTTTTTCCTTAGCGTTCTCAAACAAAGCATGACAAATCAGTTTGCCACATTTGTGTTAAGTGGAACATAGTGCTACATGAATTAGCTTTTTCTTTCTTTCTTGCATGCTTTTAAATTATTTTTTTAATAGCCTAGTTTAAATCGGTAATAAGATGATCATCTTAGTGACTCGTTTTCCTTTTTGCCCTGCTTTTCCTCATGATGGTGAAAGAAGACATTTATAGAAGTTTGGTGCTATTTCTGTTCATGTTGTTTAGTGACTCTTTTATTTTGTTTCAAATAAGGCAATTTATACATGTTAATCAGAGCATAGCTCTTCTAGTTGTGTGTGTATATATGTTTATAGCTCTGTGAGGACTCTCACGACACTGTTGACTACCAAACCAGATGTCGTGGTCTAGAGTCATCTGATCTCATTGGTAAATGTTGATAATTTTCTTGGATGTTTTTCCTCTACCAAGGTTACAAGATGAAGGTAATTGAGAATCTTTGCACAAAGTCGACAGCTATTTTTCCAGTTGCAATTTCTATTTTTCTTGTTTATATTTTGTACTTTAGAATAACATTGTTTTGGTGTATGAATGTATTTTGGTATATTTTTCAGTTATCTGCAACATAAGCTAAACCGGGGGGGGGGGGGGAGAAAGTATGTTCGGTTCCCCACTCTGTCCGTTTTATGTAAGGGGACTGACAAACAAATTGTTTTTGGGGAATTTTTATGCACTTCAAGGAGAGGGTTTGATGTGGCGGCTGTATTTTATTTTTGTATATAACTATACAGAAATGTGTTCTGTGTTACATAGTTGTTATTGAAAGTTTTCAATGTTTGGGGGGAATTTTCCAGGTGTCTCTCCTCACATCTTTCAATGGTTACATCCCAAATGGCACCCTCTTATGGAATAGGGTTCCATTTGGGACACAAGCCTATGGTACCCCTACTTGGTTCCTATACAGGTGATAGACGGTAAAAGAGGTGGTCTTTTGATTATAGACCGGCCAGTGTTGACACTTCTTATACACTGCCTAACCATTGTACACTGCATTTTGCCCCCTGTAACGCGCGCAGCTCACGCTTCCCAACACATTTGGTTCTCCCATTATTAAAACCGATATTTGGGGGTGAATGGATCATCTAGCACTACAATGGTGATTGCTTTCATGGCCAAGACGCTGAAAAGCTACCCAGCCATAAGTGTTCCCTGCATACATGGTATGGTTTCTGATAAACCTGCTGATTACTTTGAAACGTAAGTGGGAGTTTTGTTTTGTCAATGTACTATTTTTATTAAGTTAGTTTCCCTATCATGTATGGATTTTATTTTTACCTTGTTTTGGTTTCAACCCGTCCAGTTGGTGGCAGCAATACAACTTTTTGGGTTGTAGTCCGCCATAAAACCCACAGAAGAAGAAGACTGAAACGTGCCTTTCTGTTTTGGAGTAGTGGTTGCTCCGCCACCCATTAAGTGCGCGCCTACATAACATAATCAATCGGCTACAATCAATGAAAAAGGAGTCTTACCAAGTAAGCAATTTTTTCGATAGGCATATTGATACTATGCTACAATAAGCGTTTATCTTTACGTTGCTGATTAGTTAAAAGTCAAATGTAGGCATAGGCCTACTGTACGAATTTATACACGGCTAGCTCCCATGGTTTAATTGTTAATACAGACAGGTGCTGCAACCTGCGACGTGGAAAATAATCAGGTATGTTTGGTGCATAAATTAAGAACCAGACGTGCGCGTCACACAGGTCTGTAGAATAAACATAACAGAAAAATAGATATATTTCTGTTAAATACATACATTACACACTGGCTGCTAGGTTTTACATTTTAGTCATTTAGCAGACGCTCTTATCCAGAGCGACTTACAGTTAGTGAGTGCATACATTTTTCATACTGGCCCCCCGTGGGAAACGAACCCACAACCCTGGCGTTGCAAGCGCCATGCTCTACCAACTAAGCTACAGGGGACTGGTTTCTGTAAACTAGAGAGAAAATGCGGGGCATGACAGATTAATTAAATATAGCCTATGTAAACTACAATCATTCGGATTTTTAAATTGTATTTCTAGCCTAGATAATAGACAACCACAACACCGAGGTATTGATGGGACTAATCCCGCGTTTACATGCTAGTCGGAAATTTACGATTTGCTAATTCGTTGGATGATGCACGTGATTAACTACAACCAGTTAGCAAGTCGGAAATGTCCCAGTTCCGACTAGTACGTGAACGCGGTATAAAGGTTGGTTTACAGTTGGACTATCCACGTATCTATAGGTTGTCGCAGTGACATCGTGAACATTCTATTGTCGTCCGACAAGCGCAGACACACTTCCCCAAACTCTGGGACAGTGCTGGTCAGAAAAAAAGCTAGCTAGCTGATGGATGTAAACAATGTTCTTCCCCCAAAAACGTAGCAAAACGACAATCTGTTTCAGTAGCTATAGTTGGCTAACTATCTAGCTAGGTGTCATCTAAAATACCCCACATTTATAAAATGGTTCGTTTTGGATTAATGATGGTCAAACACACATGTGAAGCTAACCACAATAAGGACTGGCCACAATAGTGTAATTTGCGGTTCGCCTTCAAAATAAAACGCCCTCATTGAAAGTGATGCAGTGACACCAACAGAACACAACTGTGAAGCATTTACACAAATATTACCGTCGTAGCTCTTATTGCTGGACTTGTCACCTCCCCAGTCAGCCTATTGTGCGTATTGACATTCATATTGCACTGTACAGCCTTACCTATGGATTGTGGATCAATGAAATGGGGTATCAGTCTACTCAGTACCCAAGCATGTAAATCTTGCCTGCAAAGCCACTACACAACACAACACTAAACAATACATTAATTGCACTATAATGGTGACAAACGGTGCCCACAAACTGTTAGGGCCTACATAAAGCTGTCCCAACAGCAGAGCTTTCTTTTCAGCACCATGGAGTGAATCCTTACCACTACTACACCTGGCTATCAGCGGAGCCTTGTCTGGCAGCGAAACAGTTCATTCAGCCTCATTTACTGCCTTTAAAAAAAACATAGCTGATATGGCTGACCTGCTTAAACAAATGTGGTTTCTTCTGACAATTGAGATGTACAAACTATAGCATAAGGGGACAACGAGCGTATAAGTGGCAATCCATAATTTCGATTAAGACGATGAGCGAGCTAGGACGGACGTAGTCAATATAACTATTTGTTCAGCACTTTTGAAATGTACAGTGACAGAATTCACAACATGGGCCGTTCTTACAGTATTCTCCCTGTACACAAAGTCAGAACAGTAGGATAAATAATGGGGGCATATAAGCAGACAGTGAAAGCGCTTACAATATTCAATGATTACATTTATCTAAAACAGGCTATAGGCTACATGTGCACCACCAGGTCAGAACAGTAGGCTAAGTTATAAGGAGTAAAGGGACCAAATTATTAGGGTGAGGCACATGGGCTACTAACATTTACTACACAACATACACTTAGTATTACTTTCTTAGCTACAGTATACATATCTCCCTGGTATGTTACATCATTTATCCAGCAGCATACAAGGCGTGGCGGTACTTCTTTTGGGCAAATTTTGTCATCAAAGTCTGGCATTCTCTGGATGTATGGTGCTTTCAAGACAACTGGGATCTCGGGGGGAAAAAAAAGGTTGGATCATGATATCATTGATCTTCAGGTCGGAGCTCT